TTTCCGGCCCTAGAACAAGCTATCCCCTCAAGGAACCCGACAGCCTCTTGTTTCACCACTGCTGGAACTTCAAGCACTACACAAAAGGCGGACCCCACTAAAATAATGGACAGCAAAAGATATCAGCAGGAACACCAAAGCGAAGAGGCACTTCCCCAAAACCAGACTTCTGTCAAAACACCGCCCAGAACGAAACCCTGGAACAACATTTCTCACAAGGACAAGAACGCATGGGACCATCCTACAGCCAGATACTGACAACAAAGAGGTACAATGAACAACATCCTCTCCGTGTTGACCAACCATCTGACTCAAGCTCTGGAGTTTGGTCAGCAATAATCCTTGTGGCAGAGAAGCACTTATGTGGTTTTCATGCCCAGTTTTCGTGCCCAGTGGCTCCATTTGCGCAACAGGCATTTGATTTTATTTTTCCTCTTTTAGCTGCTCTTTTCAAGGGATTCATGGTACGGAACCCATCCACCTCTTCAACACGGGAGGTGGGTGAGCCGGCTCGTTCATATACCTTTTCTACACTTTCACCGTCCTTTTCTCCTTTACAATTTACACGTCCCGTCAGGCGCGTTCCAACTTTGCATACATCATACGCCCAAAGGAATTAGCGCCCCGATGCATCCAGCAAAGCAGGGTTCGCATTGGAACTCACAAATATACAGCGCTTTGAACGCGCCCTCGATATGCTAACGGTTAGAGGAGATAGCCCAGTGAATGAGGTCGCGATCATTCGTACCATACAATCCGAAATGCACTACATGAAACACAAATTCGTACGCACCGATGTAGTACTTCAAAAATTACTAGCCAATATGCAAATGATGGCTCGCGCGCAAGAACCCACACTTATTAACATTGAGGAACCTTCATCTCCTAGGTTATCTCAACATGGCATCCTCCAATGTTTCACTAAAGATTTGGCAATGGAACTGCCGGGGTCTCCGCACAAATAAAGGGCTTCTCCAACAATTTCATTATAAACAGACAAACCTGACATCATCCTGGTTCACGAAGCCAACAGTTTTATTACATTATCTGTATACGATCACTTTATGCAAGGCAGAATCACAAAAAAAGAAAAGATAAACGAACCCCACAAGAAACCAACATACCAATTGCCATCATCACGTACGTAACTAGGCATATCCCAGCTATTCAAATCGACATTGCCTCTTTAAAAAACTCAACCCAGGAGCTGGTTATAGCACAATGTCCCCTCAACAATCGAGAGGTTATCATCGCCAACGTGTACTGGTTTCCAGGACTCGATTGTCCATCTGTGAGGTCGATAGACGCGTAGACACAGCAACATAAGCACATGGACATCATCCTAGCTTGTGATTTTATTGCGCATAACACATCCTGGGGCTATACACGCACCACCAAAACCGGGATGCGTCTCGATCGCAAAACTCAGGAAAACAGATATACGCTCCTTAACGACACAACAAACCCCACGCGACAGGGCACCAGCGTTGAGCGGATACTAACCCAGACCTCAGCTGGCACCGCGGTATGGAAAACATCACGTGGACGAATCTTTACAAAAACCTAGGCAGTGATCATCACATCGTCGAAATCACCCTAGCTGATCCTCACATCAAGCCCCGGTCCACCTCACTCACGCCCAAAAACACAACTCATTAGGCGAGTTAATTCCGTTCTCCGGAGCGCGAGAGTTTGGCGCTCCTTTCAATAAACGAACAAGAGTGCCACGGGAGACTGACACTCGCGCGCGCTCTTCGTGCACCGAGAACTTCTAGGAGTGCTAGTGACTTCTTCGCGTTCCGTGACGTCACGTGAACACACAAGATGGCTGCTCTGCTGTTGAGACCGCTGAGACGAGTACCAAAAGGATTCATAGTCCTTTCGAACTCGAGTCGAGTAACGAATGGACTCAAAAGATGAAGTTGCGGACGCTTTCTCTCGGGCAACCCAAAATAGCGGTTGAGAGCAGGTGATGCAACGGGGAGGTTACGAGGAGTGCGGGTATGATGTAAGTCGTGTTCGGAGTCGGAGGAGAGGCATCGCATGTACGATGGAAGGCAGGACAACGACTGGCAGGAGGGGAAACAGCCAGAACTTATTCCAGATTTAGGACGCTGCACGAGGAGACCAAAGATTGTGGCTTGTGGTGAAGTGATGAGCGAGGAATAGCTTTTCGAGGCCCGATAATCAGATAGGAGTTCGGCAGCGGGTGTCGGAAAAATTGCGAAAATATCAGTTGACACCATGAACGCTGGCGGACGAGTTTATCAGCGGGTCTAGGAAAAGTGCGGAAATTTCAGTTTACACAGAGAACACTGGTAGGCGAGTTAATGAGCACAACGATTCGTACATTTTGTGCCAATACCGCTTGTTGCTTTGCGTCATCCCAACCAACGACGAAAGGGAGAGGGACGACCCTCCTTTCAGGGTGGGGGTTCCTAGAAGTCTACGGAGGTGATCTTTAGAATCCCCTTTCGACTTCACTCTGGCTGGTTGTGACAGTGGCAGCCAGATTTTTATAATTTATGTCGAGTCATGAACTGCCCGGGGATGATGCTGGAGGCATTACGGTGGGCTTGTAACTCTCCTGCTTGCTTTGAGGCGCGAACGGATTAAATGGGCTTGCACGCTAAGTTGCCGCCCTCTCCAAGGGTCGATGAGTCCCTATAGCACGGACGCACGTGAACGGGACGGAACGCGTACACGCCCTGGCAATATGAAGGTGGACACTTTACCTGGTTTCTTGCCAGTTTTACGGCTCCTTAAGGCCGCATTAACTCTCAATGCCTCAAATGGTACGTGGTTTGAGGGTCTAAACTTTGCTTTCTAGCCCTCTTCTGAAACAGAGCATGTTCCGGAAATTGCAGGAGCCCCAAAAACAAGAAGAGGGCTGTTCACCTTTATATCGCTTATGGGTGTACATCTGGTCGCACAGGATATACGCGGCCATTTCGGAATTCGGGTATGGTATGGCCATCCCGCCACGGGCTTTGGATCCCTTCATTTTCTCAAAAGTTCGACTGCGTTTACGTCATCGTTACCTAGTCTTGAGGGAAACTCACCCTCTGAGCAACGGAGCTAGTGGTTATGCCGCATCGCTTGCTCCGAGGTGTGATGGCCCCTACGAGCCAGCGACGCGAGCGTCGTGTCTTCTACGCTTTCTCGGAAAGATAGAAACGCGGAGTCTGTCCCTGTTCACATGCCTGACTTCAAGAGATACTTCCATCGCTATGGGGAAGATGAGTAACATAAGGTTGCGGTAGGACACAGGAAATCCCCTGTTCCTAGCAACTCAGGAGCGAGCTCCGGAATGCGGACTTGCTGAGTTAGGCGCACGGTACACGTATCCCTCGGCAAGCAATTTTGCAGTAGGGGCTGTGGCCGCTGCAACAATCTGCTGCAGAGTGTTTGTTTATTGTGTGTTGTTTTAACACTATGTTCAGTGCAGAATGACTTTGTGGAAAAACCACCATAGACGGCGTCACCCAAGAAGTCCACCGGGTGGGAAACAAGGGCCTATCTGTTTCTCTAAGTGCTCAGGGTGACGGACACCTGTTCGGCCCGGCGAACGGTTCGAAAGGGCAATTCTACTCCCACGGCGACCTCCAAGCGGAACGGGGCAGGTCCGTTGGTGTTGGGAAAAACAGCTTAGTGCAGGCGCTCTGCTGCATCGTGGTGAAGAAACAGCAAGCGATGGACAGGTAAACATTATCTCCCGGCTTCACTAGAAGTGCCAGCTGGGGCCGGCATTAAGAAAGACGGACGCCGACGGTCCCACCATCCGCTACGACGCTTTCTGACGCTACAACATGGTACTCCGGTAACACCCCAAAAAGCAGCCGTCTCTTTCGACACCTCAGACGTCCCCGACCAGAGCGCTCACCTCTCTTTCCACAATCCATCGACGAACACATCATGGCTGACGTGAAAGTACTCCTCTCTGAGGACCATGAGATCCCGAGTACCAGAAGTCCTCCGAATGCCGGGTCTTGAGACAGGAAGAGTGTGGGAGACGAGGGTGGAAGACGACGGGACGGAGGGCACGTAACAAGCGGTCGGCCGAGGAGACACGGGGTGGGGCGTGGCAGAGCGTGCTGCGCGAACCTGGGGTCGGGCAAGAACGATCGAGACGGTCTAGGCTATGGCGAACCCTGGAGCGGTCCACCAGCCAGGTTCGGCCCAGGACCGGCGGGAATGGCGAGCTCTGGCCATTCCGGCTTATGCCATGACCATCCCGGAGTGGTTCCGCAGCGACGCTTTGGTAGACCAAAACAGCTAACCTACGGAGCACTGACGTGAGAAGGACGATCCACAGGCCTGCACACGGATTCCGCCCTGGCTGGTGATGGCAACGGCATCAAGACTTTTCAGAAGTTATGTCGCGCCGCGACCTGGCCGGGGTTGAGAAAGGACAATCCACAGGCCTGTACACGAACTATGACTGCGAGCTCTGCACGACGGGTGATAACCAGGGTCGGCGGGCTAGGACTGCCGGCTCTCCAGGACGGGCAACCGGGAAGTACAGTAAACCCATTCGCTGTGTTCTCGTTACGTTATGTCACTCTTCGGGAGACGAGCGAAGCACAGACCGATCTGGCGGCGATTTTTATAGAGCGACCCCACACTTCTTGATGAGGAGGTTCCAAGACCGCAAACATGCGATTGTGTACTCCCGCACGATAAACTGGAATCGAGCATTATTTTAAGGATGGGCTTGTCAACTTTATGGCGGTATTGAACACGAAACAATCATAAACTCCACCTCTGACGGGGTGAACCTGTGTTCAAGACGGGTCTAGGGAAGCTGAGGTGCCACTTAAATATGGGTACTGACACAAGAGAAAATTAGTGCCGTGTTCTCAGAGTTGACAATTGGGTCCAATCTTAAGAGCATTGGCTTGTAGCTTGGCTAAGGAAAGTTCCCCAATAAACCAAATGTTTCTAATACAAACAAATATATACAAGGAAAGTGTCTAAAAGCAATAAAAGGCTCGTGTCACCTGTGCCTTGAGATGGCTTCCAGCGTCGTTTTTGGCGAGAAGTTAGGTCCCGGCAATACTATGGTGGAGCCGAAAATTGTGACAGCTAGCACGCCTATTGTTCTGCCGAATCCAAAAACCAGTTCTGCGTTCAGGCAGATAGATTCCCGCTGAAAAAAAAGGAGCAATTGTTTGTTTTCGAAGAGCAACAATACAAACTTTATTTTCGTACAGATTCCCGATTGCCTAAGCCTTACAGAACAAACAACGTAACACAATGTTTAAAGTCAAACACTGCATCAAAATATTTCTCCGCACTGAAATTTTAGAAAGTGTACTGAAAGTAAACAGGTCTCGTAATACTTGAACTACTGTAATAGTTGGCTATAAGACATACTAAAATTGTGAAAGAAAAGCAACACACTCCTCATAAGGAGGTTCCCCCGGAAAGAGTCCCTACCGAAAGTTAATTAATACTCGTACATGCCACAAGCACATCTGTTCTCTAGTTATGCTATTTTTGTAAGGAGCCTTAAGGGGTTTTATTCGGGTTAAGTCACAAAAAATATGCGCCAACGTAATATAACGCGATATTCATTTTAAGTTCTCTAGAATTAAGGGGTTCGCAGGTGTGAAACAAATGACCTTTCGTCGCGGCCACGTGCATCATAGCGCAACACTATTCGATGCGTACTTTCTTGAGAACAGGCCTTCATATCGGTTGAATGCAGAGCTCTCCAAGCCGGTAACCATATAACTGACAGGACGAGGTTTTCTCTGGCAACAAAGAAGTGGCTGAGAAAACATTTTAGGTTGCGTCTTTTGTCAGCACCGCAGAAATGTTTCTGACGAAAGCATGCCTTCTTGGGTTTTACGATGTGACATGCCTTGACACCACGTCGCCTTAACCTATATCAGAAATATTGAGTAGTGTTGTGATTCTCCACTTTTTAATGGCACTCTTTGTGCATTACAAACATTAAATAAATAATGGCAATATGCTACGTTTAAAATGTGCCTATGTTTATTCCGATATTCCTTGGCTGTAGGTTCTTGGAACATCAATAAGCCTACGTCGCATACGAGGACAGCTCCGTAGGCAGTCAATAAATAAAAGTTTAAAATCGATACAATTTACCTCTTTTTGACGTAAAATAAGGTTGCAAGGAACAGCTTATTAATCATTCGTTTTGCATCTCGTATGTTTTTTTGTTTTGTTTTGTTTCCTTGGGTAGCTCGACAAAGAATACGTGAAACGAAATGAACAAGTAACTGCGTGTTCATGGCAAAGTTGCACCCTTCATATTAAAAGAGTGGTTATCTGATGTACGGTTATTCTAGGTATTTCCTTCTGCCAACTGCTGTTTCTCACGGCTATTTGATTGCCTTGCAGGATATCTTTCGGCAGGGTGAGGAGGCCAAATATTTAAACTCTTCGATAACTCAGAGGCTGAGAAGGTAGCAATATTAACTCGAATAAAAAAGCTCTGTTCTGCACTTCACACTGAGTTCGACCGACTGGCAGGCCTCTTAGTCCATCGGACAGATGAGTCCTCAGTTTCCCGCTATATGGCGCCTAGTGCTGTCCTTCGTGCGTTGACACGGCTGCGCTATGTGAAGGGCTTTAAAATAAGTAGGTTCTAGATGGTCGGTAGAAAATATCGCATAAATTGCGGAGAGTTGCGCTCACAGCGTGTCGTTTAATGTTCGAGCGTAGCAAAAATAGATAGAGGAAAATGAAGAATGACTCATTGATTACACATTCAGCAGTGTTAAAATGACGCCAGTTATTATAGTCGTGAAAATTTATGCTCAACTTGCCACTGCAACATACATCTTGAAATTGGTTATCATCCACACAATAAAAAGGCATGGTTGCTTGTCATATCCTGCCATAGAATGTTGTCCACGAATATATACCGCCTAAGTTAGCCAGTGAATAGCACACAAATAAATTAAGTTTTGTAACTTATAATACCATTTTAAAAGTATTTTGATAACAGGTAGAACAATATTCAATCTGAATGTTTCACATAAAATACGATGAGTTTTTAGTAACTTTGAAGCTAATTTTCAGTTTTTATTTGTTCTCTTGCGTTCACCTTGGTCAAAAATTTGAATTAGAATTAAACATTTATTTCGTTTCAGTTTCTCGTTGCTATAATATTTGCAGCGCTTAGTAAAACAACCTGTACGTTATTAACCGAATATCACTCATATCATTTACTTTATTTCCTAGAAAATTGTTAAAATTTAATATTTTAATTGTATTATCAAAAGCACTGGACGTAAAAGCAGTAGCGATACCTGTCGATGGTATCCGACGAAGCGGCCCACCAGGTTGGCGTTATTGACAACGTTGAAGTGAGACAGTCGGCCTGGTTTGGGTTGCCCGGTTGTACCCTACGTTTATAAAAAAAAACACATAATTTTTATTATTGGTTACTTCTTAAGAGAGGGGGCACCGAAAGGAGCAATTTCAAGTCGCTAACACTGGTAGCATCTCCACACGAAGAGAGTTGACGAATTGTTCGCATATCTCTAATAACTGGGATTATATAAATGTATCATTAATGTACATTTGCATTATAAAATGTCATTAGAATCATAACAGTACAATGTATGGCTACTTTCCGGCTAACCAGAACTCTTGTGGCCACATTAAGTGGGCACCCTGGCGGCTCCCATATTTCTGGTTGGCTAGGTTGCCAAACGCGGAGACAAGCCAGCAATATCTTTACCGCATTTTGACTGAGAGTCCTAGGCAACGCGCGCCTCACGCGCGCCACCTTCATAAGGCAAAGCTGAGGCGGCGTACGGATACGCGGTTGCTGACGGACAAACCTTAATTTAACGTTGCTCCTTGTCCCCCCTACGTCCACTTATATGTAGTTCGTTGTAGTTGAAACCCGAGGCTTTTTGTTATTTACCGGGTTGGAAATACAAGAAGGCAAGGAGACCCAATGGCGCGCAATGTGGGGCAGCCGGTTGGAACAGCGGTGGAGGCCGACCCTAAGTGGTTCCCTATCCAACCGCTGGAGACACTCCGAAGGGAACCTGGGTACGGGTGACTCTAGCATGAAACTGTCTTCAAACCACTGTCACACGTCTGAGCTGCCCGGTCATCACCGAATTCAGTTCCCCAGACTGGTGGATAATAACAAAAACGAGACATGACAAAAGACGGCAACAAACAGCCGGGATGACACCGTGTGAAACTGCTACGGCCAGCCACGCTGACCAAGACAGGCGGTCGCCTACGGCTGTATGGGATTCTGTAAATCTGAAAATAACGAATAACGATAGCAATCGAAATAGAATATTGAATCCAGCGCACGAATAAGATCATGGAATCTCTGTTCACACTTTCACAGCTCCACATTCATATTGCCGCATCTCTGGATACCGGGGCCACTATCTCGCTGTAGTGGATACCCTCTTCAAACTTTGCAAGTAAAAAAGATGAGCCTCCCTCCGAGTAAAGTGCTTTTTCAGTTAATTTCTGGTAAAACTACGGCAACTGAAGAAGGGAGCTGTGAAGCTGCAAACGGTGTAGATTGCAAAGAACCGCATTTATGACATCGTTTATCGACGCGGTATTAGTGCCCGCCAACGTCGACCGGCATTGCATGGCACGGGAAATGACACTTAATTAATCTGGAGCAAATGCTAGCTAGAACAAAAACCAGAGCTTGCTCTGTTTAGCATACGAGAGGACCGGCATCTGCAATTCGCCCATTCCAGTACACTTCATTTTGGCACCAGCTGCCTCGCCTGTCGGCGTTAAGGGCTCGCTGTGAAGGTGCCCGGCAAGTAGCAAGAATAAACAGAAGCTCGAATATGTCCTGCAGACCTTCACGACATTGTTTAAAAAGACACAATTGGACCAGTGACGTCCTAATGCACCACAATGCAACCGGTAGCCAAACACCATGCGGGTTGAACCATTGACAGATCTGCGTCCACAAGAGAACGCTCCTGTATGGGGCGCTTGAAGCGATGATTGACACCAATTTGTATGTGAGTCAACGAGCCTTCGGGCACTTCCTCTTGTTCCAGCTCTAAAATACAATGAAACAGGCCGACTGGTTGTATACTATCGGCGGCTTAGTGACGTGTTCGTACGGCAAGCTATCTTCTCCCAGCAATTTTTTTTTGTGATAAACGTACTCGGTAACGCTAAAGCATTCACAAAACAGAACACCCGCCTCAGTTTCTTCACACTGAGATTCAATCGCCGGGCGCACAGACATTTAAATTCATCTCCTACGAAAGGTAGTTTGATTCGGCCCGCTTGTCACATGTTTTTCCAAATTAACTTCCGAGTTTCCAGCGTGGGATGGACAGTGCACTCGTCAAAGGTTTAGCGATTTATCTTGGGAATGTTCAGTTGGTCACACCCAAGGTTGAAATCCTTCGATTCGTGGAGCATAATGATACAGTCTGTCAAAAACCAAAATTTTTGCGAGCTAGTGAACTCTCCTTTCCCACATGACGTCATAACTTGAAAAAAAAATCTCTGAACGATTGCTTTGTACTGGAATTTTATCTCCCATTATTTCGAGATTTTTCAGCTACGCAACGTTCAAACTGTTCGCATTCACAGCCCCCTCGAAAGCAGTCATTGGCTGCTTCTTTACAGCCTAAGAAGTTGAAGAAGCTCTTTATTTTGAGACAAATCCAGGCGAGTGGAACATAACAAGGCACAAAGGACGAGGTCAGAGGAGAGGACCACACAAGACTCAACAGACGCAAAAGTGCTGACTCGCAACTAAAATATTATAAAAAACAAAAAGAATATGGGGAAAGCATCAGAAAGGCTCGAACTAGAAGAGCGCGCAAAAGACGGCCTGGAAACAAAATTCGCCGGGTGCCCGTCGGTATCTCGGTGGCGAAGGATTTCGCGCACCCAGAAAGCACTTCTGGACGTTAAGTCGTCCACACACACATAGACTAATGGCGTATGTAACAGCATTTGTCGCGTTACTATTTTAGCGTCCCACATGTCCACCATGATGCTACTGATGCAAACCCAACCACAGGAATCGGAACCGTAGTGCACGTGCTAATCCGCAGCTGTGACCGCAGAACAAGAAGCGCTAACATGGCGCTACTGAAGCGCGTTTACAAGGCGCTGCTAAAGCGCTAACAAGGCGCTACAGAAGAGCTAAGCGCGCGTTAGAACCGTTTGTACAAAAATTTCGTTACTACAAGGGACCCGAGTAAATTGATAGTATTCAAAAAGTATCGCAATGTTCTGACGTCGGAACTCAAGAAGGCCAAACATGATTACTACAAAGCTTTATTCAGTGAATGTGCAAAAAAACGTCCAGATGTCGTCTGGAAATCAATAAATGAAATTCTCCAACCCGGCAGACAACATAATTTTTTAGGAGAGCTCCAGGTAAATGGAAAATTGCTGTCTGGAACCTCACTTGCTCAATGTTTTAACTCTCATTTTGTCAACCTGGCCTCGAGTTCATACTGCGAGGATGCAGTAGAAGGCATTTATCAAAGGGTTAGTGAAACCCTGTTTCTTGATCCAACAAGCGAACATGAAGTGTTTCGGGTATTTATGGGCCTAAAAAACAGCAAAACGTGTGATATTGACGACCTTCAAATAAAACCAATTAAATTTGTTCTTGATATAATTACACCATGCCTTGTACATATTTTTAATCTGTGTTTATCGTGCGGAAAATTCCCGCAAAAAATGAAGCTTGCAAAAGTGTCCGTGATATATACGGGTGGAGATAAGAATGTTCTGTCAAATTATAGACCCATATCTGTTCTGCCTGTTTTTTCAAAGGGACTCGAAAAAATCATTTTTTGTCGTCTGAATAGTTTTTTGTGCAAACACTCTGTAATCACAGAATCTCAGTTTGGCTTTAGAAAAGGAAGATCTACCGAATCTGCGCTTCTTTTGCAAAAAGAAATCATATTACAAAATATAGAAAGCAAACTCTTGACACTTGGCATCTTCATTGATTTTAGTAAAGCCTTCGACTGTCTCAATCATGGCATACTCATTGACAAACTAAGTAGGTATGGTATACGCGGTCCATCACTTTCACTTCTGTATTCTTACTTATATGAACGTAGGCAATCTGTAATCATCGATGGTCACTTCTCATCACTGTTGCAGATTAAGTATGGCGTGCCACAAGGTAGCATTTTGGGTCCGTTGCTCTTTAATATTCATATCAATGATCTTGTGAATATTTCCGAAAATGTCAAATTTGTCTTGTATGCCGACGACACCAGTCTGTTCCTCAGTGACGCGGATGCGGATAACCTAATAACCAAAGGAAATTTAATTTTGTCTAGATTTTTTTTGTGGTCGCGAATAAATGGCCTATATATTAATGATACAAAAACAAAGGCAATTTTATTTAAACCGTCCAATAAACAGGTAAATATAAATGAAACTCTCCATTTTCAATCCACGCCGATTGAATTAGTGAAAGAACATAAAACATTAGGTATTATATTTTCAGATAACTTACAGTGGGATAAACACATAAACCAGGTCGTCAGCAAATTATGCAAAATTGTAGGTGTGCTTGCACGTTGTCGAGCCATTCTCCCCGAAAAAATAAAACTACAAATATATCATGCATTATTTAAATCCCAAATTTCCTATTGCCATCTCGTTTGGGGCACGACCACAAGGACAAATCTGAACAGAATATTATTACTACAAAAAAAAGTTTTGCGCTTTGTTGGAAACGTTCATTTCTTAGCCCACACAGAGGCTCTATTTTCACAATACAAAATTATAAATATACATCGTTTTTATGAGTACCTTTTGACTCGATCATTTCTTTTTTCTTCCCCTGAATCTATTAATTTTCTGAAACAGACATCGGGATTAATCAAAAACATACCCACCATCTGCACCCGCTACTCCGAGGAATGGAAAGTGTTTCCGTTTCGCACGAACTACAGTTACCAGTCTTTAAAACATAATCTACCCTCATTGATAAACAAATATTGCGTAGATGACGTGGACATCTACAATATAAACCCTAAGTCATTGTACTTACTTTTTGTATAGAGCTGTTTTCGTTAACCTGTGAAACCTAGGTCTCTTTTATATATGTATTTTACGTATTGCTGTAATCTCTGCAGTTATTTTTGTATCGCCATAGCTGTCTGCCAAGTGCACGGGGCCCGGACCCCGTCAAGTCAACATTTGTTGACTTTTTGTCCGTGGCTCCGGCGTCTGTAACCCATACGGATGCAAAAATAAAAATTATTATTATTAATTATTATTATTATATTAGAACTAAGTCGTGCGCTAGGAAGCACCACTTGATCACTCTTTTGAGCGCTCATGTGGCGCTGACTTAGCAATTCGCTGTATGTGTGAAAAGGCCTTGAAGTTCCCTCGAAGCATTGCGGCAGCGGTATAGTAGTCAAACTCGCTCGTGAGATCGGTCTATTCTTCACAACACTTACCGAGGAAAACTGGACAAAAGCATCTTGGTCGAACTGCACTTTGGCCGACAAAGAGCTCATGGTCGCGTAGTCTTCAGCCGTCACTGAGTTCACCAGGTCATCAAACGTCAGGGTGCCGCTGCAGGAGATAAAAGTGTCGATTGATTCCGACATTTACATGGTGGCATCAACTGCCTCTGTGCGCTGCATAGAATTACTATCACGGCGTTTACTCAGTTCCACGATGACAATCCCGTTTAGTCGACAGGACATCCATTTTGATAAATATCAATTCAGAGGAAACGAGATTGACTGTTGCAATGGTAAACCATATAACTCAGATAACCCTGGTGCAATTTGTTCCGACGTTGTTTAAGTGAACATGACCTCCACTTCAGAAATTGACCACAGCTTTACGCGCGAACCTTGCCTAGTGGCACACAAGAGAAACGCCTTATTTGGCGTTTCTCTCGTGTGCTACTTAGTGCCAGAGTACCTTTCGTTTGCATTTCTATGACTTTTCTCTGGTTCGCCACACAATCGCCAATGTGACAGACTTCAACCAAACGTGACACGTACGAAACGAAATACCAACAGAGAAGCATAAACCTGGCACTTGTTGGCAGTTTAGGTCCGAAATCGCCACATCAAAATCGAACGACCAGAAATGAAGCCAAACTCTGGCACTCGTCTGGCAAACTTATGCTCAAAGATCCCAGATGACAGTCCAACTACCAGCAGTAAGCCTAACTTTCGCACTCCCTTGGGCATATTAGGGCCAAGATACCCAGGCTCTGGCATAAAAAAGTCACGTTTAAACTACCTCGGCTTCTTAGTGCATTTTGCGCCCTAAATTCCCTCCCCCTTTCCTGAAACCAGTCAGAACTACTCCACCCGCCCCCCTCACACACACACACACACATACCTCGGCTTCTGCCAAAACGGTCGGGACATGTATTCTCCTCCCGGTCGGGACGGCGCCCGCCAACCCACCCAAGAGGAGTAACGGGAGAAACCAGGAGAGCGAGCTGGAATTCTCTCCACCCCCCCCCCCCCCTCCTCCCACTCCTCCCGAACCGGCCGGGAAATTCGCCCACGGCCCCGACCGCGCCATACTGTCTCTGTGAGACGATGTCTACTTATCACATATGTCCCCGTAAATGTCCGTCAGGAAGCCACGGCTTTTCACACGGATGGGTCACGACGAATGAACCATGATTCAAGTAACTTCCTTGGGCCCCACCGCTGGGCTCGACCCAACGTCGCCGCATTGTCCAGGTCAAACGTGTGCCCCATCGTGCAGCAATGGTCGACAAGTTCAGTCTTTGATCGAGTCGCGTGCCTGGCCGTGGCCACGTTTCTTTTGTGCTCCTTCAGTCTCGTTGTCCCCTTCCTTCCTGTCTTGCGAATGCACGTAGCCTCACAATCGCCGCACAGCACTTTGTACGCCACCCCACTGTGGACGCCCACAGGGGTGCGGTCTTTTGGCTTCGGGAACACATTCGCCAGAGTGTAATGAGGTTTAAACACAGTTTGAAGGCCCAACGGACGTAAGTTTGTTATGTTAAGCCAGAGTAAACGTTTTTAAATCCGAATTCATCTGGCTTTCGGAACATTCTTGATTTTATGGACTACCAGGAAATAATTGAAAATCAAAAGATTAGCTGCGGCATTTCACTAAACTCCGTTCACCCTTGAGCTACGGAGGGAGCTACGTGCCCATCGGACCAATTAGCAGCCTCTCTCTTATCATTTTATCCGACATTCAGCGCAGTGGTGAACGGTGTATAGCGAATTACCTATCTACAAAAAAAAAAGACTTAGTAAGTCTGAAGGGGAGACCATCATATCATTTAATTAACAAGTAAAAGTATAATCTGCAATAAGGTATTGGTAAAGAGGGCCGACAAACATATTTAAATATACATTTCCTTGAAACTCCTATTGTGTGTCTAAATACGATTGGCACTACAACCCGTACATCGTAATTAGATGCGAAATGTGAACTACTCAAGGAATTTAGAATATGCTTATGTTGACTTCTTTTATTCTAAACAGCATATCTCTGCGTGAGCGCCTTCGCGAATGTCGTGGTTACGCAACGCTGGTGCAGCCGAGGTCCGTATTGCGTAACTCGAGAATAAAGAAACCAGTTAAAGATTCGCCATATAAAGTCCAAAACAAATTTTAAAAAATCATGCTTAATTAATGCACGTAGACATTATTTAATGGGTTCACGTCGATGTCTACATGACGACCACAGCGTCTTGCTCTAGTTTACAATCACGCTATATGAGGATGGGATTTCACCTTAAAAATGTCACCGTCATATCGCGCTCACCGAAAATATGGAGGACGATTCAGCTTTACCTTTAAGAGTAGAACGTTGTAGCTAAGCATATAAACTCCCGCTCTTTCCCAAGCTGTAAAAGCGTGTTTTGTGTAGCTTAGTAGTGTTTGGTTTGCAACCGAATGGTCACCTAAACTTCCACGTTTTCTTTAAGGCAAATGAAATTACTTTATGGCGTGAAAGGATTTCAGACATGCGGCAACCTTTATTTCGCACCACAAATCCTGCTTTGATTACTTTCATTCCACGCGTGACGTCATGTTTCAGGTGAGCGTTGTGGGTTTGAATTTTTCGCAGGTTCATGAAAGTTTATGTGGCTGTGACGTCATAACCCTTTCCACCAATCAAGATTTTCCCGTCACAACGCCACCGACGCCGGATTTTTTGTGACGCGAGGTCCTTAATGCTGTCGTGTAAAAATTTATTTTTATGTAACTCGGGGCGCATATTGCAGAATGAAAGCTTCTCTTTGCGCAAAATACAGGGTGTTTTTTTCTTTCTATTCTTACACATTTGTTAAAAAAAAAACGTGAAAGCTGCACTAATGCGGTTTGTGTAGGTGGGTTATACGGTCAGGCGGACATAATGTGGGCGGCTAATCTCTGCAATAAGTCTGCTAAATAATTAAAATTCGTTAATTAAATTTTTAATTACTGGAAATAAACATATGGTTTCAATTAGAAACTTGCTGAGCATCATCGAAAACCCCTAAATCAACTATTTTTAGCAGGATATAACGCCGGGGCAGCATTTTACGGCGTTCTGTAAAAACGCTTCATATGGATGCGTTTCTAGATTTCGGTTTTTTATCGGAGCGCATCTACGCGCCCGCGATCCTGCTCCCCGGTGGTCGTGGCGCAAAGCCACCTCTTCGCCTCATTCGTAGAATGGAGGGAAGTACGGCGCACATCTGTTGCGCGTCTCAGCCACTGGGGAGCAGGACCGCGGGCGCGGTGATGCGCTCCGATAAGAAACCGAAATTTAGAAATGCGTCCAAGTGGAGCGCTCTTACAGAACGCCGTAAAATGCTTCCCCGGCGTTATATCCTTGCAGAAAAGGATGATTTTGTGGTTTTCGATGATGCTCTACAAGTTTCTAATTGAAACTACATGTCTATTTCCACTAATTAAAAAGTTAATTAACGAATCTTAATTAATTAGCCGACTTATCGCAAAGATTAGTCACCCACATAATGTCCGTCTGGTCGTATAACTCACCTGCAGAAACCTCATTACTGTAGCTTTCACGAATTTTTTTTAAACAAATGTGTAAGAATAAAAAAAAACACCCTGTATATCTTATTCGTTCAGTACAGACCAAATCTTCAAGACAAGGACTGATTAAATGCGGCTCTTAGGGGCCAATATTGCGATGTTTAATGCTTTGACTCCATTAATTTCTTGAATAACCAGGAAGTTTAAGACTAATAAAAAAGTATGATTTGCTTCGAGCCGATATCTGCATTAATTCTTATTGATGTCTGAAAATTATCCGGACTTCAAGAGAACGTAAACATATGTAAGGTACTAAATTCGTAACACAGCAACATATACGCATTTCCTGCAAGTTTAATTCAAAGGTCTTATGTGGCAACAAAAAAGTGCACATTTGAATCTATGCTCCACCTTCTTCCTCCGCTGTCGATTATGCGGAGGGCAAGTTCGTCTGCTTCTTGCGCAGGGGGTAGCGGTGACGTCAGAACGCCGAGCCCTGATTGGCTGATCGCGACCCCCTATCTGAGCGTCGTCTGCTCCTTTGCAACGTCGTCCGCTCGCAACGTCGTCTGCGTCTGTCTTACCTTTCCTGCGACTTTCGGAAGTGCAGAGGCCAGATTCACGAAACGATCTTACGCCAAAAATGTGCGTAAGACAAAACTTAAGAACAAATTCGTATTCTCGATACGAAATTTTCGTAAGTTTTGCGCAGGTTACGACGAAATCCTACCACAGCTCCGAAACTGTCTTATGCACTTCTTATTATCGAATCAGCATGGCCGACAGCGTCACGGTCGCGACGACCCACGGACGTTTATTTTTCTACGTGCGCTTCTCACGCGTCCCGACTTCAAGCAGCAAGAAAAAAGTAAAAAGTACTTGAAACAGACCACGACGAACAGGAACGCTGGATCCACAAACACTCGGGAAAAGCTCCAACGGCCACGATTCTACCAAACGCGACCAAGTGAGCACGGCAGTTAGGCCTAGCACTCCGCGACTCGGCGACCGTCTGCCCACGACCGGCTGGTGTGCTGAATGAAATATGCCCGCGCGACCCTTGTGAACCCTTCCCGTATTATACTTTAATCGCTGACCTCAGTTTTAGATTAAAAGGTCAATTTCTTCCTCTTGTTATCTCCTTGTTTCCCGAGGCAACGGTGACTCTCGCCGGTGAAAAAGCGGTGAATCTCCGACAGACGCAGGAAAGGTAAAGCAGCCATCGCTTTGACTGGCAGACGTAAAGCAGACGACGTTTACTGCGCCAACCCGCGGACGCCGTTAAAGAATGAGGGGTCTCGCCGCACACGAAAGGAGGGAAAAAGTGTTTGGGAGGGAACTTGTGGTCTAACCACCCTCACTCTCGGTTCTTAGCAAATAAACCTCGGCGCCTCGGGACACCTCGCCAGTGAGTCCTTTGATTTCCCTCCTCGATGCGCGTCTGCTAGTTGTTAGACAAAAACAACGTACCGCTCGAGTTATTTCGTCTGCCCTCTCTGAAAGGCCAAGTCGAGCTCGCTCGTAAAGACCTACAGTTTGCAGGAAAGGTAAGACAGACGCAGACGATGTTGCGAGCAGAAAACGTTGCAAAGGAGCAGACGACGCTGAGATAGGGGGTCGCGCTGACGCCACCGCTACTTCCTTTCTCATGCGCAGAAGACAAAAATGAGCCCACTTGCGAGGCGTATACATTTCTTAACATCATGTTTGTGTTCATACACAGTGCTTTGTTTTGTTTTTTTATGGAAAGTCTATAGAAGTTGTCATTCAGGCGATGTTCTTCTGTGTTTCACATTACCTCGTATAACATTAGAGAATCCGCATACATGTGGAACGGAATCTGCAGTTGCCGATGCTTTAAGCTTGGCTATTTATTTATTTATTTATTTATTTATTCAATACTGCAACCTCATTAAAGTTTTAGCAGGGTGGACACTGTGGTACAACGAAATACACCAATCTTCACGAAAAAGTACATGACAGTATAAAGACACGCTGCAAACTATGTCCCGATCACCAGGCCGTTTCACACAAGTCATTGCGATACACTTAGAGAACAAAATTCAAAACGCCATTCAGTAGTTGAAAATATACATTTCCATCACACTAACAAAAGGAAAAACAAACAGGTGTAAAAGCCATATTCATCCCTGCCCTTAGTGACATGATCGCCTATCAATGGCCAAAAAGGGGAAGGAAAAGTAAGAATGCGATCGTCATCAACACACAACGCTTCAAAAACCTTATTTGCTTTATTGTAAGCTCGGGGAGATAAATGTGATGCTTATTTTTTATTCTTAGTCTGCTTTATCAAGTAGCGATAGGAAGGTCGCCAGAGAATCACTGCCTACAACTTCCGGGCCGAGGCAGTTCCATTCGCGAATTGTCCTCGGAAAGTATGATTGCGCGAAAACGTGGTTATGGCTGGAATATTCTTTCAATGAAAGCGAATGAGAGCGTCTTGTAACGCGCGGTTGGAAAAATGAAATATAGTCACTTTTATTTATTTTTAGCTGGTTATTTACTAGTAGAAAAAGAAATTTAAGTCGCTCCCGTTGATGTCTCAAACTGAGGCTTTTAAGATTGGCCGCTGCCATTAGGGCGGTTGGTGATACCGACCAGCTATACGAACTGTATACAAATCGTGCTGCCTTTCGCTGAATACGCTCCAGTTTATCTTTCGCTGTTGCAGTGTAAGGGTCCCAGACTATTGCCGCGTACTCGAGGATGGGCCGTACATACGTTTTAAACGTGAGAAGTCTTACTTCTGAAGATGGACAGTCTCTAAGAAATCGCCTTAAGTATCCCAGTTTCTTAAATGCTTTCTTGGTAATATAGTCTATGTGGTGGTTCCGCCTCACGTCGCTTGTAAGCATAACTCCTAAGTATTTAAATGAATCTACGCTATTAATTTGGGTGTCCTATAAAACGTATGTGTTATCTAGGCGCTCTTTTTTTTCTAGCGAACGTCATAGTTACCGTCTTTTCAAGGTTCAGTGACGTTTGCCAATTCTCACACCATTTAGGAATTTTCGCCAGGGCTGTGGTTAATAGTACTTGGTCTTCGGTGCTACGTATTTCATGGAATAGTACGCAGTCGTCCGCAGAGAGCTTAATTTGTACCGTACTATTGAGGAAAATGTCGTTAATAAAAACTAAAAAGAAAAGTGGCCCGAGGACGGACCCCTGGGGCACCCCTGAGTCGACCAAGACCGGACTTGACCGGATCCCACCCATACACACTGACTGTTCTCTTAAGGAAAGATAATCCTGGATCCAGTCGCATAGCATGTCGTTTTTTAAAAGCATCCTCAGTTTTAAGAGTAGTTTGGAGTGTGAGACCCGGTCAAACGCCTTTGCGAGGTCTAAGAATATTGCGTCGACTTGGCCTCGCCTATTGAGTACTTCTGTAATGTAATGGACTGTTTCTAGTAACTGTGTACTTGTCGATAAACCCTGTCTAAACCCGTGCTGTCTATTGTCCAATAATTTGTTGCTTTCAAGAAAATATGCGATGTGTTTGAAAATGACGTGTTCCAGGATTTTTCCAGACACACACAAGAGCGATATTGGTCTGTAGTTCGGTACAAGCTGGCTATCTCCTGATTTTGATACTGGGGTAATTTTGGCACGTTTCCACTCCCGTGGTACTTTACACGTCGAGATAGACTTCTCATATATTATACAGAGGTACTTAGCACACCATTGTGCGTACCTCTGCAAGAAAGCATTTGGAATGTCGTCAATGCCTGGGGATGTTTTGGTATCCAAATTGAGTAACAGAGACAGAACACCTGATTCTGTTATGGACAAGTTGGTTAGGGATGGAGTAGAAGTTTGGGGCTCACTAATTTCGGTGTTATTACCGTTATCGACCGTGAATACTGATTTAAAATATCGGTTGAAGCAGTCAACCAAGGCGGACGGATCACTAATAATGCCTCCATCCACTGACAGACTAGAAACGGATTCTGTCCTTTTTGACGACGAAAGGTATCTCCATAACTTAAGTGGTGAAGAACGCAAAAATGAGACCAAGGTTTTGTTGTGGTATCTTTCTTTCGCTTGTTTTCTATGGCTAGTCAGTTCTACGCGTAATTTATTTCGTCTCTCAATGGCCGGAGAGGACGATGCCCGCTTACAGGATTTTTGTAATCTTTTAGCTTTCCTTTGCAGTTGAAGTATTTGCCTTGTAATCCAAGGGTTTTTCTAATTTACAATCTTGCTTCTGGTGGGGACACATTGCCTAATACTTTCATGAACAATTAATTTGAAGAATTCCCACAGTTCGTTCACGCTATTACAGTCTAGCTCACTCATTGTTTCGAACTCAGAAAAATGAAGATCTAACCTGTCAAGAACACCTTCGTCATCAACTTGCAGAAAATTAAGTACACGAGTTGTTTTGCGTGGTTTGTGGGGACAGAGTTCGACAGTTATTGTGAACAAAACTACCTTGTGGTCATATATGCCTGGGAGCAACGTAGTGTGCGTAGCATGACTTACAAGCCTATCACTGATAAAAACCAAATCCAGCGTTGATGCTGACTCGCCACTTTCTCGTGTCGGATCTTTAACCAATTGCGTAAGGTTATAGAAAACTGCTATGTCAACCAGTGGTTCTGCTGAAGGCGCAGGAAAGATTGGGACCGGGCTTTTCCAGTCGATGTCGGGGACGTTGAACTATGAGGTTACGATTACTTAGACAATGGCGGCAGAGGTACTCATTTAGTTTGAAGAAAAAATCGAGATCCGTTTGAGGGGGCGGTAAACCGCACCGATAACAACGTTTTTTTTTTTTTTTTCTAAGGGCCACCGATGCCCAGACACATTCTAATCCCACGATATCTTCCAATCTTCTCAGTACTAGCAATTCGTCGTATACAATAGCGACACCCCCACCTCGACCTTCTCTGTCTTTGTGTAAAATTCGATAGCCTGGTGGACCAATTTTGTGATCGCCGATCTCTGGACGGAGCCATGATTCTGTTATTACGATTATATGCGGCGAGTAAGTTACTATTAGGCTTTCAAGGAGTGCGATCTTGTTCACAACACTTCGAGCGTTAACATTGATACAACGTAGTTCTTCGTTATGGTATGCTTGTCATGTTTGGGAATCGCGTTCCCTTATACGGGGAGGAAGCTTCACCCTGGTATTTTGTCGCATCCCACGCGAATAATTCTTTGCCGATCCTCAGTTTGTCATGTACCAGGGATACCTTAACTCCGTCCCGTCTAAGGTTGGAACTACTGTCCCACAATAACTTTCTTATCTGTCTAGTTTCCATCGAGTAATCCTCACGAATCGAGAAGTCAGACCCTTTGAGTCTATAGCAGTATTTCAGGATATTCATCTTTTCGTAAAGTTCATGAAGTTTTATTATCACGGGTCTTGGGCGGTCCGAACCTCCTCCTTCTAATCGGTGCAGCCTTTCAATAGATTTTACTTTGACGTTAGGTATTTCCTCAAATATATTTGTCACCGTTGCGGTGTACAGTGAATCCTTTGTTTCTTCTGCTGTCTCGGACTGTGCTCCTTTTAATATTTAGTCAACGTTTGCACTAACATAATTTTTATATTCAAGTAACTCACCTAATGGTAGTTAGAAAAATGTGATTAGAGGCTTCAGTATTTTTCAGATTTCCTTTTATTATATACGTGATTGTCGTTTCTCAATTACGTACATTTCAGTAGAATCACCACGCGGTGCATTATGCATACCTTAACTACTCACACGCTTCGCCATTGATGTTACGATGAAAACCGTATGATGGTCTATAAAATACAATATATATTATGCTAAACTTTAAGTTTATCTACGAATGTTATAAGAAGCTATCAAGTGCAAGAGGTTTATATCTTGTTTGCGACTAAACTAATCATCTGCGGTGTGTTTGTCTAAAGAGCGATAAAACAAACTCGATGTACGTCAATAACTCACAATAATATTAGGAAAAGGCGGACCACGAGACCCTAGAAAGCAATCGTGGCACTCGCACTGGCATCAGGGATTTTAGGTTACTTACGGCTTGCGGCTATTGCCTATGGTGACGACGTGTTTCAAGAATGGTAGCCTGGAAGGAGTCAGAAAAGTTTACGGAACTTCAAAGCCAGCCAGCTGCGACGTTTCGCGGCATTATCGAAGTAAACGTGCGGATCGTCACCTGTGGCTCTTCAACTCTCCCGGTGCCGTCTTCTCAAGTTCCGGTGCAATTTGAAGCAACATCTCGTAGTACTTCTTATCGGTAAATTTTTCTCCAATTATCAGAGCCGCACACTCTGTCTGAAAACAATAAAAGTTTTGATCATATAAAGGCAACACCACACGGCAAAAGCTTCAATTATTGTTGGCGTCCGGACTCGGAGTTGTGCTACCCCTCCTCAGCAACTCATGAAGTCGCGGAAGAGGGTAGCTCAACTCGTCTCCCGGACGACAGCCTTAGTTTGAGCTTTTGCCTTAGCTTGAGTAGTGCCTGTACGTGCTCAGAGTTCGTTCTGAAAGAGAACCAATTATGCTCATTTTGGGAGCTGCTTTGTAGTATGACAATCTGAGAGCCAAAAAAATCTGGCATTCCCACTGAAAACCCGTCTGAATGTTTTTACGCACCCTTCAAAAATGTTTGAGGGATTGAAATGTTCGTGCAAGTTCTTTAGAGGTCTGACACGCCTTTAAAGTACTCCTAAAGGGTATAATTGTGACCCGTTGTAGTTCTTTTAAGGGCTTGTGTGCTCTGTCTCTATCCTTTTCGCCAAATGACAGCCCCCATTAAAATCGTGTCAACGGGTCTGTGGGAGAGATCACGTGATCCTTCAGGATAAATCGATTGGTGAAGCCGCTTGGCCATTTTCTATCAGGTTACCCCAACGCGTGTGAAAATTGAGGACATGTTCCACCGTCCCTACCATGTCGTGGGCTTAGTTAACACGGCCCCATTGCTGTATGTGTGTCCAGTGTATATGGTTCACGGGCTGGACTAGGGACACCCAAGGACGCCGAGTCCCCGCTCAAAAAAAAACTTGTTTTTTTTGTTCTGTTTTTTTATAGTCAGCTATGTATAAAGGGAATATCGATTGTAGTTAAACGATGCGAGGGAGAGAGGGTGTGTATGGAAAACGGGAGGTGATTTTTTTTTGTTTGTTCGAGGAGAACCTGTTTTATTCAGTCGAAATACAGCCTTCGTCAGAACAAAGACCCACCTTATTTTCTCCGTCCAAGAACGCAAACTAGGTCCGCAACAACAACCGGACTCTTAGTGTCGGCTTCCCGTTCCATTCATGGGACCGTTATGCTAGATCAGTTGGGAGTGCGGATCATGAAGAACGTTCCCCAGTCAGAAAAGTGGAAAGTTAGGCTAGTTGGTAGCTATTTATCCTGATTAAAAAATACACAAAAGACGAGTACAGAGTAAGAAAACCGGTACGACGTACAAGCGCTCACTCGAAACTGGTATGTTTGTTAAAGCCTAAAAGAACACAAAAAAACATCCCGCGCTCCAGATCACTCATGCGCACTCCCTTTCTTGTTGTCAAGAGTTGTTAAAACTACACATCTTAAAAATAGCAAGATCACGGTGTTAACGTGATGACACCGGTCGTTACCTTTGGAAACGCCAAGTCAACCTCACTCAGTGCAAGGGAAGGGCGGCTTATGCATCCCTCTCCTCGGGAAACTATCTGGAAGGCGTCCAAGATATTCCCCGCCCTCTATTCTGTATACATGCCCAAGATATTTGTGTCATCGAGCACTGTAGAGCAGCCGCACCTATCACAGTGGACCGCCAGGAGGCCCGATGAACTCGCTCCAAGAGACGCACGGTGCTCCCTTAGCCTTTCGTTTGCGCAGCGTCCAGTTTGGCACACGTACATCTCGCCACAGGATAGAGGAATGCAATAAAATACGCCCATTCAACATCGGATGAAACGGTTGACATGCCTTTTGCCACAGACACCTTCAACTCTTTTCTTCCCCTCCCATGACTCTCGGACGCTCTTACACAATTAAAGTAATTTCTAGGGAGCTTTGAACATAACCCGTATTTCATACCGCTTCGAAACATTCTTAGCATTGTGCGAAACACCGTGTAGGTACAGGAGCAACACCATTCAAACCCTTAATCGGCTCCACGTACACATCCCCGCTTACTCGTAAAGAAAACCCTGCTTCCGTCAATTTTTTTTTTCTTTGATCATTGAAACTTATTTCCACCACGTGAAAGCATATTTTCTTGAGTGCCGAACCAACGCAGTACGCCGCGATGCCTTTCTTGACTCTTTTCGAGTGCGCCGACTCGTACAGGAGGAGCCCTTTTCTTGAGCGCGGACTAAAATCGCAACAAACATGGTTGCTCGACCAGCGGAGAGACGAATTCAAAAACTGGAGGCAACCGTCCGATGATGTCTCGAAGGTGACACCTTCGGACGGTTTCCTTCACTTTTTGTCTTCGAAAAACTTGGAAAAGGATTGAAGTTCGCTATCGAAACAACGTCGGATGGTTGCTTCCAGTTTTTTAGACGTGCCTCTCCGTTTATCGAGCAACCATATTTGTTTTTCTTTTAGTCCGCGCTCAAAAAAGTGCTCCTGGCGTACAAGTCGGCGCACTCTAAAAGAGTCAAGACAAGCGTCCTGGGTCGCTAAACTCGTCAAGCACGACTTTGTGCCCGAAGTTTGCGGAACGCGCTAATTGGACTCTCGCGACGCTGACGTCGCGCCGAGCGAGGTGTCAATCATTCGAACGCTCATTTTTTTGAGTGAGGCAGAATGTAGCAAAGTTCATCGAGGCGCGCGTGCGGCGCGTGAGGGGCGCAAGGAGCCCGCTGATTGAACGGCTTCGCCGATGACGTAGCGCCCCTTTGTCCCTACATCCCTACGCCAAGCTAAAATTAATGCTTTGCAGATTGTCCCTAGGCGACCTGCTGACGCTAAAAAATCCCTCCGAAGTTTGTGTAAAAAAGAAACCTCGTTTGACGAAGTTGTCGCTGACGTCAAAGTGACGTTTCCGAACTTTGCGAGAGCCGTGGTTTGAGCTCGAGATCTTCGCTTCGGAGCGAGGCGAAGTTAAACTTTGTCAACATCGCGGTGCCGTACGCTGCGGCCGAGCTCCTCTTCCGCCACCGTGGGCGACGCTACTGAGACCCCCGAGGACGCCTTTCAATTCCCCGACGGCGACTTTCGGCGACAGTACCGGCTATCGAAAGCCGTTGTGCGTTGACTCTGCGACGAGCATCGTTCGCCGCCTCGGACCGTGGAACAACAAGTTCTCTGCGCGCTCCGGTTCTTCGGAACCGGTAGCTTTCAAGGCATGGTGGCGACTGACCAGCACCTGTCAGCCTCCCACATGACTGTGAGCCGGGCTGTTAAAGTTTTTGCGGCTACCATCGTTTTTTTTTGTTTTTTTTTTCTGTAATATTCGAAGGGTATAAATAAGCTGGTATATAATTCAGAATGTTGGAAAACACACAAGAACCGGGGTAATTCTTGAGTAGGGTCGAGTCTCCCGGCAGCTGGCAGAATTATTTCCCCGAAATTCTACTGGCAGTCGTCACTCATTGGCGGTCAAATCAGTTCATTGAACGACGTGTCATCGAAAGATCGTTTTATCGGCACGCGATGTAATCACATGAAAGAGATATCCTTACGTTAGAGGTATATACACATTAAACATTTTCACACCTTTATACATGTAAGTGGGGTGCCCCATAACTACCACCCCAAATAAGTGTAGCAATAGACCTTATAAAAAAATGTAAACCTCACACCTTTAAAAATGTGTGATTTTAAAACACGTTTCTTAAAACGCGTGATAGTGCACTAGATCATTTTATAAAGATGTAAAACTACAATACACCTTCTCGTCAGGCACGTAGCCAGGGGGGGAGGGGCATAAGGCCCCCCCCCCCCCCCCGAAACCTTCCATTTTGCTGGGGCGTCCTCTCCCCCCTCCCCCTCATAGAGCACTTTGTCATGGGCGCCCCCCCCCCCCCCTTAAACAAAATTCTGGCTACGTGCCTGCTTCTCGTCAAGGTGTAATTACCACAGTACATTTCTTTTTCGGGGTGTACACAGTGGCCCGGGACCCAATAATATGACTGAAAAATAAATTACACAAACGAGTCGCCGAAAGAGCACGTTGCTTCTTGGCGAGTGTCGAGGCAATCGGCCGAAAACCGGCTTCAATATTGGCCGGATGTACGGTTTTGCAACTCGCCCTGACATCCGGCAGGTATGGGTGTACCGATGCGAATAAACGATTTATGTCTAATAGCACTGGCACCACTAATTTCTTAAGAGGCTAGATCGCGGATAGAGGCCTGTATTGCTGGGGTCGAGCAGTACCACCGGCAGTCATCGCTTGACACGATCTTATGCATGCTATAGGAGAAACGGGAAAACTCAATTTTATTACGTTAGTAGGTTGTTCTCTACCATGAAACTTCTATCGTGTTTCCGGAAATAACAGTTAATATTGTGGGCAAGAATATTAAACGCGTTAGAATACCAATCTTGTTTAAGTAAATGTGTGGTTAAGGGTCGAGGGCGACTTTGTTGGGCGTTAACTGTGATGTGTTTAATGAGACAAGGGTTACTGAGAGTTATTGTGGTGTCATACGTGATCTCGGAGTCATCACAGCTCAGCAAACGATAAGTTAGAAGGCCTTTACTGGGGACATTCGCATCGTTTAACCGCTTGTCATAGTACTTCAGGGTGAAAGTTTTTTCTTTGAACTGCTGTGGAGGGCTTCCGTGACAAACTGAAACTCGAAGCATGCCGTTCAGTCGCTGAACGTGCCATTCATTTAGCAACCGAAGCAAGCAACGTCGGTAAAGTCAATGGTGCTCCGGCCGATTTTTTTTAATCGATGTTCAAATGCTTGACGAATGTCTATTTGATCTCCAAGAACCCGACATGATCATCGTAGCACGTCATAAAATGCTCGCCCTCGAGCACCGCGTACAAGCTTCCAATTTTTGCGTGTTTCTCCCTTAGACTTGCGTGTATTGCCTCATGGTTTAATAGGCCAAAACAACAAGGACGAAAACGAAGGGAGAACTAGACAGGACGCGGCGTATTGCCTGTCGTCAAGCAATGGCCGCCCGTGAGGCCAGTGACAGGCTCCCGATTCGCGATCCAGACTTGCACTGTGAGAGTTCCAATACATTACACCCGCGGAGTGCTGCACGGAAAACAGGCCCCGAACGAACTTGCCGAATGCGCCGAGTGCAGACTGATGCTGTTGCCATAGATGTTGTAGAAAAGTACCGACCACAAACCAAAACTAGCGCCT